ATAGGAACCATGAGGAGGCGGCCTGTTTCTGCTCTGATTTCTTATCCTGTGCGTCCAGAACATGAGGTCATCAATGATTCGCTTGAGGATGAAAATGCTATGATGAATTTGTTGCCTGAAGGCCATAGCGTTCCTGGAGTCCCATATTTTCCAGAGAACAACGAGGAGGATGGAGTGTCGCGGGATCGTTCTTCATGCGCGACCTGGCCAACCCAATGACCATGCATGCACGTGATGATCGATCGAGCTGCATGCGCCCTACACCCTGGCAGCCCGTCAGTTGACTTGACCGGCTGGGCATTTTTTAGCCAACGCCATTAGTGGACCGCGTGTTGGTGCTTTCTCGCTTCCGGGCACCAATAGTCAACAGAACTACGCTTAAGATCCGAGAGCGAGCGAGCGAGCAAGTCTCATCGAAGTGAGCCGTCCGCCGCTGCCGCAACCCATCCGTGGAGTCAAGCTCGGAGAGCTACCCTTGCAAGGTACTGTTGCTAACACCATGGGTGGTTTGCCCTTTTCCATTTCGTTTGGCTCAGCTGGATGATCTGCAGCGGCAATGCTGCGTTGCTGCTTGCACGGATCGACCGGTCGGTCAATTAGCCGGCGATCATCATATTTCTTCGTGATTTGGTCTGGTGCGTATTCAGCTTGTGTGAGCTTCAGCCTAGCATAGCTTGCATCCCGAAACTTAAGCCCAATTTTCTTTTTGGCCGATTCTCACAGAATCTTGAGAATCGGATCTCCTCCCGCTTCTTTCAGAATCTTAAGCTCGTTTTTTGACAATCCTACTTAGTTATGATGTAAATAGTTAAAATTGTAAAAAAAATATAGGTTCAAGATTCTGGAAGAAGCTGGATGAAGGTTTGATTCTCAAGATTCTGAAAGAATCGGCAAAAGAACTGGGCCCTCGTGTCATGCGGATCATGGATGTAGATGATCTCTTCGGAGGCGGCGCGCCGTGGGATAATGGATCTTTGATTTATAAAGATGCTAGTGGTCGTGGATTATCTATTCATGGTGGCTTCAGAGTCAAACGATCCCAAACTTGAAGAAATCGTCTGAGCTATGCTCAGCTCGCCACCTCCAAAGAAATCGCCTCCACCCACGATTATTTATTCATCGGATATTGAACATTAATCATTAATTTAAATCGTTAAGTCGAATATTTGATTCGGCTATTGCACCAGATATCCATAGCCATGCCCGCAGATCCAATTAGGCCCCTCCCAATGCTTCACCTTGTAAAGGTGCTAAGCCTGCTATGTAGTCAAAAAATCTGATGTGACAAATTAATTAAGAAGAGAGGTGGGTGTGGTGATCCCAGAAAAAAACAATGTCAAGCGCATTAACCTAGGTAAACCATTTAAATGAAACAAACCTACCAATACATGAAGAACTTTAGTTGCTAAATCATTAAAGGAAAGAAGCTTAGCTACAAGAAGCCAATCACCTATGCATTGGGAGTATAGTAGCTAAGCTATTTAATATGCTTATCACCTCATCTAAGCACCAATGCATTGGCAGCAGCCTTAAGGCCCAAGGTGATTTTCCCTCCAAAATATTAACCGAGGTCGGGTTTCTTATTTTTACTCAAACTATGTATAAATATGAATTACAAGTGAGTGGTTTCTTATTTTTACTCAAACTATGTATAAATATGAATTACTAGTGAGTTGAAATTCAAAATCCACTCCACTATAATACTTTCGACGAATTTAAAATAAATCTAACAATACACTTGACGATGTTTTATAAATTAAAATAAGTCTAATATATATATATTCTTAGAATGCAAAATAATTCAAATAGGCTAACCTCTATGTATACAATATTAATATGAGACAATTAATCAAACTTCAGATTTAAGTGGTTTTTGGCTAATTGGATGATTGCTATGATTTTACAGCTATTTGTCCCGCGCATAGCATGGTCCATGGTGCATAGCACGGTCAATGGTGCCGCCATCCATACGGCTGCCGCTTCCGCGCCTCGCCAATGCCAGAACTGCTTTTTCACCAGGAAGAGCGCTAACTGATGCCCGACGCCGCGTTTCACACTCGTTTCCCACCCCCAGGCGGACAAATCTACCTATGTTTCCCACCGAGCGCGGCCATTCACGAGTATATATACCCCATGGCCCCCTTCGCCGGCCGCCACCCCTACCCCTCTCTTCCCCCTTATCCATCGCTAAGGGAACCAAGAAATGGAGGCAAATTTATTGAAAAACCGTTGTTTTTTTAATAAATAATCCCAAATTTTTGGGTGCTACCGCCCCGTCCCCGTGGACCTTTCCCCGGTGAGACCGAAGAGGACAGTCCCTAGAGAGAGTTCTAGAAGAGGGTGTGAGACTACTCCGAGTGGGTTGAGGATGACGTGTGACGTAAGACCAAATCAGCCATCGACAACGCTCATCTACCCGTCGCCCTCGTTTGCTTTGACTGCATGTCGACGACGGTCTGGGTAGAAATGAACGTCGGACTCACGTCGGTGTTCAAGACTGCGGCCATCTCCCGCATCAAGAACACATGTGCGTCCTTCCCCACCTACGAGGTCACTTCCAAGAGGAGGAAAAGCTCACTGTTCAAGTAGTAGAAAAATCGTAGTCCTAAGATTGTTCAAATTCTAGTTGTAATCCCTCTTGAATTCTATGTTAAAAGTAGTAAAAATTCATGTTAGAATCTAGTACAGAAAACTTTCCTTGTTGAGGTGGGGAAGGAAGATATGGCTTTCATTTTACGGATATAAACGACTACTTCATCCGTATCTAATGTGTATTTTTTGGGCACGATGATCAAGACAATAAATTATAGATAATTTAGAATAAAATTATTCTTGAAAAATTTATTGGTTAGTGACAAGTAAATCAGTTAGGCTATGAAATGAAGAGGGAGAGATATTTTCCTTCGTTTTCTAAAAAAGAGATACATGCAATCAAAAGAGAGATTCCTTCTTTTATTCTGAAGGGTTAAAAAAGGATTATGAGAAATTAGAAGAAATGCATCCTACGTTATGGAATTTTATAAAAAAAACATATATATCTATATAAAGAAACGGAGGGAGTATAAGAATCTTAGAACAAGATGAGAAGTTGATAACCAACTTATAGGAGAGACATAATTATAACCGAGGGAGGAACAGAAATTTTCACGGGTAAACTAAAAAAATAAAATCCCCGTGTACCCGCTCTACCGCCGTGGTAACTGCGACCCGTGCTCCGCCACCGCTGACCCCAATTCCGAGTGGCGGCGCGCGAGCTGACGAGCGGCGACGCAAGTGCGTCGGCCACGGGCGGGGCTTGCCGGGGGTGTAGGGGCGTAACCTCAAACTAGACGCTGCCGTAGGTAGCCATGCCTCTAGTTTCCGCCTCGGATGCCGGCAGACGGCATCGGCTCCGCGTCTTCCGTTGCGACCGCATCCGCCGTCCGAGCAAGGGGATGCGGACGGAAGCCGGGCGCAGGCGTGGGCGTGGCTGCAGTCCCTGTCGCGGCGGCGGCCGGGAGCAGCAGCTGAACGAGGTCTGCCACCGATGGCGCCTTGTCATTCGGCCGTCCAGGTGCTTCAGTTTTCCTCGCCGAAATCCTTTCGCTGAGACTTTTACTAGCTTCAATCCAAAACGCAGGCCCATATATTTTCTTTATCCGTGGAATCAATTAGACATGTGCTGAAATTTGCATCATTCTGAAACCTGCATTTTGGAATCTTAAGATATAGTACTACCTCTGTTCACTAATGCAAGACTGCTTTGGCAGTTCAAATTGAAATCTTAAGATGTTACTTTCCCTTATATTTAGGAACAGAGGGTGTACATGCAAGTGGCAGCATATATATGGAACTATGGAATTAGGCTTGAAAAGTGGATGGAGCTTGTTGGAACTTGGTATTTCTGTTTTGTTGGCCCTGATTACAACGTTAGGCTGTCCACAGCTGAAATCTTCAGTTCTCAGTTCAGCCATTTATGCTTTAAACTAGTGTGAAACCGGTTCAATTATGTACACGCTCCAATCAACCAGAGAACATTCAGAAAACCGCAACCTCGGAGGGCTAAATGCCACCCGCATAGTTTCTTCAAATGTGTAATCCAGTGAGATATGAAAATCAACCACTCTTTTTTTAAAAAAAAAAAAGAGGATGGAATGTGCCTCACCGTGCCTCATAAAAATGAAATTGATCGACAAAGTTTTCTCAAATAAGTCCAGCTGGATATGTGATGCTTCCTGCTCCCTTCTAAAATATATCCCTGTTTACTTAAAATTTGCTTAAATGTACATTGCTTTCCTAGAAAAATAAAGTCCAAATAAGAGACACACATATTGCTGCTAATTTCCTGAGAAGTGAAATGTTGAAAATCAGATTAAAGGGGTGAAGTAATCAACTTTTAGATTCTGTATCGGTAAAAAAAACTTTTGGGTTCTTTATTCAAAATTGACATTTCAACTTCACTGTAATAAAGTGATGGTAGTAATCAGCAATATTTGCTTTTTAGTCTGAGTACTACAGTTCAAAGTCAGTTTAAAGAGGCAAACCATTTACTTAAGGTTTAAGAGTAACTGGTCCTGATCCATAAAAAGAAGTAACTGGTCCTATGTAACTGGAATATCAACCTAACAAGGTGCACGGTGCATTGAAAATTTTCCAAAGTATGAATACACTGATCTAGCATTTCACTATTTCTGCTACATACACGATCAGAGGATTGGTGAGATTACTTTCTCCGTTTCAGTTAGCTTTTGTCTGGATCCAGATATACATTGTCAGAACTTATTCAAACATGCTTCAGAAGATATCCTCATTGTATTTAGAATGATTTCAAATTATGCATACCTAGTATATGTTATAATTTGATCCTTTTGTTTCCGGGTAGGGGTATTCTACTGTTTGCTGTGTCTTTTTGAAGGATATTCTCGTAGGCCATCATCCAATTGGAAGAAATTATGAAAATTGTATTACCTTTTGCAGGCCATAATCAGGTCATATTTGAAGAAATAATGTTCAGACAGAAGCTCTTTGTGGATGTTGTAAGCGCCAATGGCCTTTCGGACAGTCTTGAGCTACTGAGTCCCTGTGTTCAGCTTCGTTTTGCTGGCCAAAGTTTCACTACAACAGTCAAGAGGAAGGTTCGATGTCCTGTATGGTCCGAGAAGACCATGTTTGATGTGCTGGACAAGGAAAGGCTTCCTTCTCTTGCTCTTGAAGCTTATGTCTATAATGTCATTGATGGCTGCCAGTTTTTCCTTGGTAAGGTCTGGATTTCTGGGGCTAGCTTTTCTGACTCATCTGATGAAATTGTCAAATACTATCAGTTGAAGGGTCGGATGTTCAAGCGATCAAAGGGAGTGTTGCTTCTTAGAGTATTTCTGAAATATGAAGCCCCTGTCTCACAAGCTATACCCTCTCCTGTTCTGGGACTTCCTGTACAGGCACCCACGGATGCTGTAGTCAAGTACATTCAACCAAATTTTGAAGATGGGATGATTGTTGGGCGTATATGCTACTTGTTTGTACGTGTGGTAAAGGCTCGATGCTTGCCTAATGTGGATGTTGACCAAAAGCCTGATCCATATGTGGAGGTAAATGCTGGTAATCTTAGAAGCATCACCAACTCTGTCCCAGAGGAGCAGAACCCAGAGTGGAACTCGACTTTTGCTTTCTCCAGACATCAGTTGGACAATGCACAGATTACTAGAATCTATGTTGTTGTCTATGACGGGTTCACAGATGATTCTGGTGGGTTGATCTCATTTGACCTAACTGACATTCTTGAGCGTTCCCGAAATGACAAACCAGTAGTACCGAAGTGGCACCAACTTATTGACCAAAGCAGAAGGACAGCACAAGGTGAGTTGATGCTTTCGGTTTGGAAGGGCGTGCAGTCTGATGAGGCATTCCGTGATTCATGGAAGTCGGACTGGTTAGAGGCGAGCGTGGCTGTGCGACCACACATTGTGCCCAAAGTGTATAACTTACCCAGGCTGTGGTGTCTGCGGGTCCGTATAACTGAGTTCAAATGTATTGCACTAGCATGTGGAAGCAAAATTGTGGAGGCATATGTCACAGTGGTGGTAGGTGGTCAGCGAAAGACGACGAAGAGAATGAAGAAGCCACTAGCACATTATGTCTGGGATGAAGAGCTGACATTCGTTGCTGCAGAGCCATTTGAGGATGACCTTCAAATATCTATCCAAGCACATCTAGGGCCTGGCAGAGACAAGGTTCTCGGCCGAATCATCATACCCGTGCAAACAGTTCAGCGTCGAGTTGGAGGTCTGTCGTCTGCCGAACTCGAGCATCAATGGCATGATCTTCAAGTTCCACCCAATGCTGCAGTTGACAATGGTGCTGGGGATGAGTTGATTGTGTCATCGTGCTGCATTCATCTCACTACCTGCCTCGACAGTGAATACGGTGCCCACTATGGCTCTGGAGACCACACGGATGAAATCTCAAATCCTCCACTTGTTGGCTTGCTTGAGGTTTGGCATCATTGGAGCTCGGGGTCTGCCTCCTATAAAAAGGAAAAATGGGAGATTGTCGTCGCATCCATATTGTGTGGCGAGATATGGCCGGAAGTGGGTACGAACTCGTACCATCATCAACAACCGCGATCCTTTATTCCAAGAGCAGTACTCATGGGATGTTTATGATACAACAACAGTCCTGATCGTTGGAGTGTTTGATAATGCCCAGGTGGAAGAGTCAAGTTCAGGAGGGTACAAGGGTGTCAACATAGGGAAAATAAGGATACATCTTTCCGATCTCCAACCTGGTCGGATATATTGTCATGCATACCTTCTTCTTGTTCTACAGCCTTCAGGTGTGAAGAAAATGGGTGAACTGTGCCTGTCGGTGAGATTTACATTGAAATCATTAACAAACATGGTGCGTATGTATGGCTCCCCCAATCTACCAAAGATGCACCATCGGGACCCACTGCAGATTCTGATATCAGATCTGCAGTTTCATGCTGTCCAGATTGTGGCATTCCGACTGAGCCAGATGGATCCACCCCTACGCAAGGAAGCAGTGGAATACATGTGTTGTGACGACCGATGAACCCTGGAAAGGGGATCGATCGCACGGGGAGGAATAGAGGTAGGTGAGGAGAGCAGGGAGAGAGATGGACGAAGGGGAACGAAAGAGAGACTTCTAGTACTATCTCATTTCATACCCGATCCAGGATTACAGACTGGTTTATGTAGCACACCACACGCTGGCCACAGGCGGCCCAATAACCCACGCAGGCCTCGGCCCAGCACTTACACTTAGGCTGCTCTCCTCACCTCTCATGTGTCCACCGATACACTTGTATCAGGTGTGACAGTTGCCCCTCCATGAGCTGCAGCGTCTTCGGTCCAGCATGGTGTCGTCGGGTAGCGATGGCGCAGCACATTGTAATCTTCCCAGGTTGCAGATTCCGTAGAGAGCGAGGACCACTGGACGCGTACCTGGATATCGGGGTTGTTTCCTTTCTTGACCATGCGGCGATCCAAGATGGCGACAGGTTGGAGTGGAGACACGGTGAGGTCCGGTGTGCGGGGCAGTTCGGAGAACACCGGCGAGTAATCTGGTGTGAAGGGCTTCAACTGTGACACGTGGAAGACAAGATGGATACGACTGCCTTCTGGTAGCTGGAGCTTGTAGGCCATGGTGCCAATGCATTGCAGAATCGTGAAGGGGCCAAAGAACTTGTAGGCGAGCTCGAGGCAGGGGCGATTGGCCACCGTCGACTGCACGTAGGGTTGTAGCTTGAGAAGGACTTGATCCCCCTCGCTGAAAGAGCGCTCGGTCTGGTTCTTGTCTGCTTTCTGCTTGAACCTGTTCTGGGCGCGCGCTAGTTGCGTGCGCAGGGCCTCGGTGTGTTGAGCCCAGTCCAGGTCCTCACCAGCTTCTGTTGGTAGGTTGGCAGCGAACGTCGGCAGACCCCCAAGGTTGGGCTCCTTCCCATACAATGCTTGGAAAGGGGAAGTGTTTAGTGAGGAGTGGTACGTAGTGTTGTACCAGAATTCCGCCGTCGGCAGCCACTTGCGCCATTTGGAGGGTGTGTCGTGGACGGCGCAGTGCAGGTACATCTCGAGGCACTGGTTCACGCGCTCGCTTTGCCCGTCCGTCTGAGGATGATACGCCGTGGAGTAGCTCAGCTTGGTGCCAGCAGCTGCGAGGATAGCACGCCACATGTTGCTGGTGAAGATGCTATCCCGGTCAGAGACGATGGAATGGGGAACTCCGTGCAGCTTGATAATGTTGTCCCAGAAAGCACGGGCCACCGTTGTCGCCGTGAAGGGATGACGAAGGGGCACGAAGTGTGCGTACTTGGTGAAATGGTCGACGACGACCATGATGACTTCGTAGCCTTCGGACGCAGGTAAGCCTTCAATGAAATCCATGGTGAGGTCCTGCCAGGGCTCCGTGGGCACGGGAAGTGGTTGCAGGAGACCCGGTGGCTTGATGTGTTCATGCTTGGCGTGCTGGCAGATGGCACACTGGTGCACGAACTCCTCGACCGCCTGTTTAAGGCCACGCCAGGCGAAATGTTTCTTGAGGCGCTGGTAAGTGGCGGTCACGCCGGAGTGGCCCCCCACTGCGCTTGCGTGGAAGGCGTGGATCAGCTTGGTTTGGAGGGCGGAGTTGGCCCCAATCCAAAGCCTACCATGGAGGCGAATGACGCCTTGCCGGAGCTCGTAGCCTTGATCGTCGGGGCTAGATATGGCCAGGCGTTGGAGAAGATCTTGGGCATCGGCATCCGTCTCGTAAGAGTTGGCCACCTCTTGTAGCCACTGAGGTTGGCATGTGGACAGGGCATTGATGGCGAAGTGGTGGCCGACACGCGAGAGGGCATCGGCAGCGCCGTTCTCGACGCCGCGCCTGTACTTGAAGGAGAACTGGAGGCCAACTAGCTTGGACATAGCCTTGTGCTGGAGCTCCGTATCCAGCTGCTGCTCGCCCAGAGTACACAAGCTCTTGTGGTCAGTGACGATGACAAACGGAGCACGCTGGAGGTAGGAGCGCCACTTGTCGACGGCCATGATCACGGCGAGGAACTCCTTCTCGTAGATGGAGAGACGCTGGTTCCGTACCCCCAAGGCCTTGCTAAGATAAGCCACGGGGTGGCCATCCTGTACCAGTACTGCTCCGACACCGGTGTCGCACGCATCTGTCTCGATGGAGAAGGGACGTGTGAAATCCGGCAAGGCGAGGACTGGGGTGTTGACCATTGCGTCTTTGAGAGCATCGAATGCCACTTGAGCCGGCTTGGTCCAGGCAAATCCTTTCTTGGTGAGGAGTTGGGTTAGTGGCTTGGCGATGATCCCGTAATGGGGCACGAACTTGCGATAGTACCCTGTAAGCCCGAGGAAGCCGCGCAATTCTGTTGCATTTGTTGGTGTAGGCCAATCACGCATTGCGCTTGTCTTGCTTGGATCTGTGGCCACCCCTTGTTTGGAAATCACATGGCCCAGGTACTCGATTTGGGGCTGGGCGAACGAGCACTTTGACAGCTTTGCATATAGTTGGTGTTGCTGAAGAATGCCGAGGACTGTCCGAAGATGCTCCACATGCTCCTGTAGAGAGCAACTGAAGACCAGGATGTCATCAATAAATGAAATGACAAACTTACGGTTTGGCCCGGAGAGGACTGAGTTCATTAAGCATTGAAATGTTGGTGGCCCGTTGGTGACGCCGAACGGCATGACTCGAAACTGAAAGTGCCCATGATGTGTTTTAAAGGCTGTTTTCTCTTCATCGCCTTCCCTCATGCATATTTGGTGGTATCCAGCTCTTAGGTCAATCTTGGAAAAGAATGCCGCCCCCCGCGAGTTCATCCAATAGTTCATCGATGACCGACAATGGAAACTTGTTTTTAATTGTGACTGTGTTGAGGCGGCGGTAATCGACGCAAAACCGCCATGTCCCATCTTTCTTCTTCACCAAGAGCACGGGAGCCGCGAATGGACTCATACTGTGAGTGATCAGCCCAGTGCGCAACATTTCAGCTACCTGCCGTTCGATCTCATCTTTTTGCAAGGGAGAGTAGCGGTAAGGTCGACAGTTAACGGGAGCGGCTCCTGGTTCAAGGTTGATGGCATGATCATACTGTCTGTGAGGAGGAAGTGTTTTTGGTTCCTCGAATACGTCACTAAAATCTGTCAGGATTTGCTTGATAACAGGAGGAAGAGGATCGTCTGTATTGTGCGGGGGCAAGGTCTGCAAGTCCACAAGAGCAGCTCCCCAAATCTCATTTTCTTCCTGCATCTGCCACAACTGTGATGTATCCAAGGCTGTGATGGCTGGTGTCTCATCCGATCGGACGCCGGTGAGATGGACGGCTGCCCCTTTGCTGACAAACTGCATTGTTTTCAGTTTCCAATCGCACTGCATCGGACTATGCTGGGCAAGCCAATCCACTCCCAAAACTGCGTCGTAGACCCCGAGTTGCAGGACTCTCATGTCTGTAGTGAACTTGTGACCTTGAACTATCCAGTTCAGCTTCGGAACAAGTTCAGTGCATTGTAAGTTTTGCCCATTGGCTACTCTGGCAGTAATTGTGGGTATCATTGTTGTCGTTGCAGCAATGCGTTGAGCAAAGGAGGCATTAACAAAACTGTGTGTACTGCCAGAATCGACCAACAACAGCATGGTTTCATTCCCAACCGTGGCACGCAGGCGAATAGTTTCTGCAGCATCGGTGCCATCGACTGCGTTTGCTGACAGTAAACAGCACGACGGATTTGCTGCCGCCGGCTCGTCCAACAGCTCCAGAGCACGCACCGCCTCATCAGATAGGACTTCACCGTGCTCTCCAATCTCGATGGTCAACAATTGGGCGGAGCGCTTGCGCCGGTGCTCTCTGGAAAATTTCTCTCCACAGCGAAAACAGAGGCCATGTTGTCTTCTGTAATCCCGTAACTGTCGCTCTCTGCCGAAATCATCCGCAGCCGGTTTGGCTGCTGCGATTGGTTTCGGTGGGTTCCCCGCTGGAAACATGGTTGCTGCTGCCGGTGGGCGTCCCTGTGTTGGTGCAGTGTAGGGCAGTGGCGGCGGTCGACCTGCCGGCAATGGTCGAGACTTGGGGTGCAGATTCGCGAGCTCTTCCTCTTGGATTTTTGCAAAAACTGTTGCTCGGGTGATGCTATTTGGTGCTTGCAGGCGTACAGCCGCGCGAAGCTCATCCTTGAGCCCCAGCAGAAATTGTGTAACAAAGAATTTGGGACTCAGGGTTGCATCCAGGGCCAGTAAGTTGTACATGAGAACCTCAAATTGCTGCCTGTACTCTGTCACTCCCCCAGTCTGTCGCAATTGCAAGAGATTGTGCATCAGGGACTCAAATTCGTCCGGTCCAAATTCCTCCTCAATTGCTTGCCGGAACATATCCCAGCGGAGAATCGGATTCTGCTGTCGAAATGCCCGCAACCAGAGTGCGGCATGCCCCTCCACATAGAGTGCTGCGGTGGTCACCCAATTGTGTTCCGGCACACGGCAGAGCTCGAAATACGCCAGGCATCGATCTAGCCAGACGCGCGGGTATTCCCCTTCGAAGCGAGGGAAATTGTGCTTTGGTGGCTTGGAGAAATAATCCTCGCGTGTTTGTTGGTGGTAAGCGCGCTCCGGTGGTGGCGGCTGCTCCGGTACTGGAAGCAGCGACGGACCATCGTTGGCCAAGCGTGCGCGCGGCTGACTGCCGGCTGGCGCCTGCGGATGTGGCAACGCGTTCGGAGGCGGAGCCACGCGCGGCTCGGTTGGCGGTGGTGGTGCCTGCTGCTGCGGTCGCTCCTTGGGCGGCGGCGTCTGAAGCACGGCCGCAGCCGGGTTGTCGACGTCGGATCTGGCGGAGAGGGCCGACGAGTGTGAGGAGGACGCCCCCTTACGAACGTCGTCGACCTCAGCTTGGGTGAACTCGATCTGCTTCGAGAGACTCTTGAGCTCGTGGGAGACCTGGCTATTGAAGGCGGCCTGCACCTCGGAGCGCTTCCCCGTCTCCGCCTTCTCCTCGTCGAAGTGCTCGAGCAGCTTCTCCATGAGGGCCGCGAGGTTGGACGTCTGATTCTCCATGACGGCCATGAGTTGCCGCGTCTGCGCAGAAGGCTTGGACGGCGCCGTGGCTCCCGCTACGAGCAAATCAAACCCTACACAGGATTTTGCGTGAATTCACCAAAGCGAATCCGCACCTGATGCAGTGGATGTTACCGATTCACCAAGAGGATGTGGGGCGACGGCGCGAATCGGCAGCGGAGGAGAAAAAATTTGTGGCCTCTGATACCAATTGTGACGACCGATGAACCCTGGAAAGGGGATCGATCGCACGGGGAGGAATAAAGGTAGGTGAGGAGAGCAGGGAGAGAGATGGACGAAGGGGAACGAAAGAGAGACTTCCAGTACTATCTCATTTCATACCCGATCCAGGATTACAGACTGGTTTATGTAGCACACCACACACTGGCCACAGGCGGCCCAATAACCCACGCAGGCCTCGGCCCAGCACTTACACTTAGGCTGCTCTCCTCACCTCTCATGTGTCCACCGATACACTTGTATCAGGTGTGACATGTGTGATGTGCAAAGCCACTTGTGGAGCATGCGGAAAAGCAAGGTCAACTTCTACAGGATCATGTCTGCCCTCTCAATCTTCATCACATTTTGGCAGCGGTTTCTCTATGTTTGTTCATGGGAGAACCCCGCGATCACTTTGCTGGCCAATGCTGTTTTCCTCTTAGGTCTTATGTTCCATCAATTCATACTCCCGGCAGCACTCCTATTTACCTTCTTCAGTATAGTATGGAATTACCGGCATCGCCCTACTCATCCTTCCCAAGTCGACATCAAGATATCTTTGACAGACACTGTACACCCAGATGAGCTTGACGAGGAATTTGATACCTTCCCTACTTCTCGTAGCTCTAATTTAACAATGATGAGGTATGATCGGCTGAGGTGCCTTGCCAGCAGGATACAGACGGTCATGGGAGATGTAGCATCATGTGGCGAGAGGATCACTGCATTGACAACATGGAGGGATCCTACAGCAACAGCAGTATTTGGGCTCTTTACTTTAGCAGCAGCCGTTATGATGTGTTTTACACCGTGGAAAATTCTCGTCGCGATGGTTGGACTCTACACCATGAGGCACCCCAAGCTTCGGCGGAAGACGCCGTCATTCGCTTGGAACCTCTATAGGCGATTGCCACACAAGGGCGACAGTGTGCTCTGAATATCTTCTGTACTATGTGATTCCCATTGAGTCTGCTGCTGGCTGCTCTCGTTTGTGGTAACTATCCTTTGCTACTCTGTATTGTTTCTTGAATCTGTTGGTTGCAACTCTCTCCTGTTGTTTCACCATTGTGGTCGCAAGACTTGGTTTTCATGCAAAGCATAATAATATGGGGGTGTAAGACTTTGTCTCCATGCATGTTTAACTGTACACACCAATTACGCACCATTTGGTAGTACCTGATTTCCAGTATGAGAATTTTGTTCATGTGTTCCTAGATGCGGCAGCCCTTTAAATTAGTACATGTTTCAAATTTAAGTGGCATCATTAGTATCCAATTTCAGATTTGTAAAACTACAGCTCAAAGCAGGATCAGAAAATAGATACCCCGCAGCACTGTCAACCGAATCATGAATTTTCAGTTTTCTACATGCGCGGCACTAGAAGAACAATAAACCCTACAAAAAAACCAATTTCATATTTGCTTTTTTTCAGTGAGAATCGACAATAAACCCTATACATAAGCTGCACCTGTCACCGGCTCGTCTCATTATTCATTTCCCGGGGGAAAAAGGTGAGTTAATGAAGTACTGAACCCATGGTTTTGAGAATCCTCGTGTAATGATTGTAGCTGCATAATCAGATGGAACTCAAGAAGAAATATCATGGCTGTGTGATAGGACTAATAATTATCTTCTTCTTTCGTCGCCGTCACTTCAATCACGCATGAATGCTGATTTCGCGGCCCGGTGTTCTTGGTCTACTTCGTACGATCGATCAGTCGACGTTAGCAACGGTAGTTCGTGTATCACGCTCAGCTCTTTCCTGCTGCTAAGACTAGGTGCACCTAGAAATAACATAATGCATGGGACGTACTAGGATCGACGGAGGAACACGAGCTCTTTTCATGCTATATATCATAATAGCTTTGCCAGCATCGTCTCTCCGTTGGTCTTCTGGATTAACTGTTGAGCTGACGCAAATGACACGGTTCAGGTTGAACCTTTCTGAGAGCTCCGTCTGAACCTGATAGGCACAAGACTACAGGAGTGTGGAAAAAAGATACTCAAAAGGGTGAGGCTTAATAGCCACTTATGCAGGTTACAGTAGCATTCTGATTAGAAGAGTTGTCACTAACTTTGTTCTGACAGACCTGGAGTGGTTCCAAAGTTCGTTCCACAAACCTGAGTCATGCATATATTAATTTGTAGTTCTGAAATGTATAATGGTTGAAGAAAAAGTTTGGCCAACCAAGAAAAAACTTGAGCCATACCGAACGATCAAATAGAGCATTTAGAGGAGGTATATAAATAAATTATCCAAATCTAGCTGGAAATTTTAACAGTTGCAAAGCTATCTGGCATAAGAGCAATTCTAGCTAAGTCGCTGTATCGGCACAGTAGTCGTAATAACCGCCAGTGTGATGATTTTCGCCAAAAAAACGCTCTAGCAGATCCACGATCACATGCTCGATCGACATAATCTTTGGAGTCTGCTCCAAATTGAACACGTGAGCCTCCATATTTGGCGGTTGGGAGGCGCAATATAGCACGCCCTCCATCCATCCAAATCTTGGCACCACGGGCATTCCAGGACACGCGCGCCACCAACATCTCATCCCTGCGCTGCCGACGTTTGGTGCCACCTCCGCCGCCCGGACCGCCGTGATTTGGCCCCGATCGCCTCCGCAAAGACGTTCCCGGACCTCCAACGTTTCGTCGCAGCCCTGCGCCTGCTTCGTATCATCTGGCTGCGCCACCCCTTTCTCCGTGCAACCTCAAGGTGTTTGACGAATTGACAAAAGGTACATTTTCCCAACGTATCCTTGCAAATTAAAATTTAGCGGCTCATGGATTCTTGTACATGACATATGATTCACATAATGTGTACATGGATCCATCGGTAGAGCTACTTTTTGATGATTTATCTTAGGATTCAAACTCCCAAGTCCGAGAGTGAAATCATAGATGCCAAAGAAGACGAGGTTCTCATAGTGGTTGCTGACTGGATAGCGGTAGCCGGAACAAAGAGGAAGCGTGCAATATTTCATCAGAACAGAACCAAAGGCCACGAGAAGGTCATGTGTGGCTACTTTGTGTCTGGTTGTACCTTCCCTGCTTACATGTTTCGTCGATGATCCCACATTACCGAATGGTTGTTTCGTCGAAATGCCGGTGCCATGGAAGCCAATAAACCGTTCTTCCAAAAACAAAGACGCGTTGATAATGGGTTTTCCCTTCTCGGAAGGTGACCGCGACATTGCATATAGCGTTCTTGTAGATGAATTGGATGAGTATCTTCAAATGGCCGAAGATATAACCATTAAGTGCACGAAAGTGTTCACTGAAATTATGGTGAGGGTTTATGTACAACACACTATTACGGAAAACACTAGTAGTAGCGCTTGAAATAGATATACAAGTAGCGCTGGTTGCAACGCTACTGCTAAGGCGCTACAGCTAACTGCTAGCAGTAGCGCTTGTTTACAAGCGCTACTGCTATACCTAGTTAGCAATAGCGCTTGCTTTGCGCAAACGCTTCTAATAAGAGTAAGTAGCAGTAGCGTTTCTTCTGAAAAACGCTACTGCTAAATTTTCCTGTATTTTTGAAAATGCAGCTTATTGTTGCTGTCTTTGTATATGTTTTATATACAGTACTTTCATCATATGATTTTATGACCATGATTAGTTATTATTTATAACAGTGGGTGAAATGAATATGGATTAGATTCAAATGGAGGCAACATGTGGTGCACATCGAAGTACTACTAGTCCAAACTAGATCAAGTTTGGATTAGTAGTACTTTTGACATGCACCACATGTTGTCTTCACTTGAATCTAATCCATGTTCATTTCACCCACTGATATATATAATAACTCATCATACTCATATAACAACTTAGCATGATGCATCATCATAATATTAAATAATCCATCATTGGTACCATAATAACAAGTCATACTCATCATCATCATACAACTTCTACTCGTTATCATGATAACAAGTCATACTCATCATCATCATAGTCATCTAACTAACCCTACTTAATTTTTCTTAGCACATGATCAAGAGTATTAGCTAGGATCTAACTACCTTCTTATAGGTAAAATAGCATAAAACAAGATAGGCCCTGACTCTCCATTATGAAGAATGGAGATTATCCTATCTCCAATTCTTGTGCGTCGCATAATGTTGCTTCCAAGTACCTCCCTACGACTGACCATACATTGTTTCCGATGTTTGATTGTCATGTCTTCATCAGTTTTAGAAATTCGATATGAACAGCTGTGATGCGTAGGATGACCTGGCCGTAAGCTCATAACATCAAGACGACCTTTCAGAAACATCAGATGAGGCACACAATCCTTCGGGATTTTTGGTTGAAAAACATAGTAATAACTTCATAGTTAGCAATGTAGTTTAATTTTAGAAGAATTTATGCAAAAGATGCACGGATGTCATAATAGTAAAAAAATCTTACCATGCCATCTCCATGGATGTTACCGTAGTTTAACACGTGCACTAGTGGCACGTATTGAACATAATATGCAGGAGTTTGATAATAGATATTGTAACTCTCAAGATCATTAATAAACGAGATCAGATGATTTTTCTCCTGATAAGTTAATTTTGCGCCATCGGTGTAGTAGGTTCTGTCTACCATCTTCCTCACATTCTTTGAAGAATGAAAATAAGCTATCAATGGAAATAAGTTGCCAATTATTTTCAAATAAACAATATAAATTACTTAATAACTATGTTTGAGAAACTCACATAGCGGTAGAATTGGAAGCGTATCAACAAGGACCCAAATGTCCATATTGTCTTCCTTGATGTCAGGATCACCAAGATCCATGGTGACAAGCATACCTCATGGAAATCATATGCCTTGCAAAGTGCTTCCCAATTCAGGCAACCAAAATGGGATACGCTCACAGAATTGTATAGATTTACAGGAAAATCAAAACCACGATGGGTTCTTAGGTGAACTATCTTCGTTTACATATTTTCATGATCTTCAAAACCCATCCTCTCCAAGACATAGAGTCTTGCATGGCATGGGATAAGCTAGTCGAATTGTAGAAAACAAATATTACACGTTGAAGAAGAAGAAGTCAAGCTTAATTACGAAAAAAACACTTTGTGTCGTTACGTACCGTTTCAACATCTAAGGTCTCCTGGAGCTTAATGATGAAGCGCTGACCTTCTACCAAGTGAGGCCTGTCGCAGAAACCCCGGTCGTCGCCGCACCAGGAGCACTCCGCGAGACTTTCTTCGTCCGACGACATTTCCTATGTTCATAATTCAAAGATTAAACTTCGAAAATTCAATATATGTACTACAAAAACTAAATTCGATCATTTTTATTCAGTACAGATTGACTATCGGTCCGTCAAGTCTTTTTTTGAAAACTCTCAGCTCATGTGGTGTATATATTCGACCGTTGGTGATGGTCTCTCCTCCCTTCGTCCTCGGGTGCATTAAACGAAAATGTCTAGCACATAGGAACGAAGGAGAAGCGACCCTGACAACAGTCGACATTCTTCTTGGACACACTCCCTCACTGATTTTTCGACCGTCGGTGATGGTCGTTACTCCTCCTTCTCCTAGTGCATAACAAAGGTCTAGCACAAGGAGAAGAAGGAGAAGCAACCCCCACGACAACAGTCGGGATTCTTCCTCTCTCATATATGGTGCAGACTTTCTCCCTCACTCATTTTTTGATTGTCATGTATGGAGCCTCGATAGACTTAAAGTCAACACTAAATGTCGTTTAATTATCTTTCTAGAAAATCCAGACCACTCGATATTTCCTACATATTGTAGCACAAGTCATGCCAAAATTCACGGAAAAATCCGGCATGACCTTTGCTAAAAAAGGACATATCGAGCGCCTAAAATTTACCGGAACGGAAATTAATAAACACTCAGGCAAAACATAGGCCACTCGGAGGTGTTACATGCAAACATGGCCACTTGGGCAAGCACATATCCTATT